AAAATCATGGAGAACTTAATGAATCAGCAAATTCACTTCTTAACTAATTTTTCTTGAGCGAGAATTTATATTTAATTAGTAATAGATAATTTTCTATTTTAATTTTAAATTATAATATAAAAATATTTTCAAGATAACAACATAATACAAAAGAATTACTTTATTTTCTAAAAGTATAATATTATTAATGTAAATTTATTTCAATTATAGAATAACTACAACTTTTTATATCTTAATTTAAATTTCTAATAGAAAAATATATTTTCAACACAACAACTTAGTACATAAGAAGTATCTTATTTTCTAAGAATCTGATGCTATTAGTATAAATTTGTTTTAAATATATAATAAATTATAGAAATTATGATTAACTATCAAAATTACCTAAAATAATGGAAAATATGCTAAATCAGCAAACATTAAATTTATTTCTTAAATAATTGTATAGATTTTGTACATGTTAATTTTAAATTTTACAATAGAAAAATATATTTTCAGGATAATAGCATGATACATAAGAATTAACTTATTTTCTAAAATATCATATTGTTAATATAAATTAGTTTTAATTATATAATCAATGATAAACAAATTAGAGAAAATCTGATAAATGATCAAAATTACCTAAGAACATGAAGACAAATCAACAAATTCACTTTAAAAAATATTCTTTTGTGATTTATATTTAATTATTAATAGTATAATGTTTATATCTTAATATCAAATTTTATAATAGGAAAATATATTTTCAACATAATACATAAGAACTATTTTATTTTAGAAAAATATAAAATTATTAATACAAATTCGTTTTAGTTATATAATAAATAAATATTTTAAAAAATTTTAATTTAAATATTAAGTTTTATATATAAAATATATTTCAAGATAACAACATAATTCACAAAAATTATCTTATTTTCTAAAAATATGATATATTCCTATAAATTCATTTTTATAAATAAATGATATATAAATATTAAAAATAAATAAATGATATATAAATATTAAAAATATGATAAATAAAAAAAATTACTTAAATTTATGGAGAACATGACAACTAAGTAAATTTACTTCTTATATAATAGTATAGATTTTGCCCATTAATAAACTGACGATGGAGTTCGCCTAACAATATATTTCAAAATCAAACCGACCGTACCAAACAAAACACCCAATTCAGGGTAGCCTTCCTTCATAACTTTTAAAGGTACAGAAAGAAGAGATAATAAAGTAAAAATGGGTCGAGAGTGCAAGTGTATTGAGAAAACGAGGGAGGAGAGGAGGAAGCTGGTCGAGCTTCAAAACACTCATGTCTTCATTCTTTGGCCGTTTTGAGATCTATCATCTATGTATACGTTGGTTCTTGACGAACTACGGTTTAACAATAGAGTTCACAAGATTTTGGTATCAACTGATATAGTATATAACAACACGTCTTATTAGATCAAACACACTCATATATGCATTGTTTTCTTTTGCTTGTCAAACGTTAATTTTTCTAGTTGTCTTTAGTTAGTCACGCTCAATCTATAATTGCCCTTAATAATAATCTGTCATCAATTATTAATGTCATTTTCATAGCTACTGAGTATTTAAAAAAAAAAATCATAGCTACTACTAACAACTCACTCACCACCATTTAAGAATTCAAAAGAAGTGCATAAGAATTTTAGTCTGATTCTTTGTCCTAAGACATCAGGTTACTGGTATTATATTCATCCGCTATATATTGAACCAAATCATTTTCGGAAATTCAGAAGAAAAAATACACATAAGAAAGTTTTTAGTAAAATACAGGAAGGTTCTCCCCTTTTGTTGTTCATTCTTTTTTGGTAAACCCATTTTTGTTCATTCACATTAATGTCTGCAAATAAATTAAATTAAAAATTTATAAAGAAACAATCAATAAATTAAATCAGAAGAAGCAGATCACAAATTTTAGGTTCGTCCACCTACCGAATTCTTTTGATTTCGATGTTTATGTCGTGGAATATTTGTCTTCGCTCAATAAATTTTCATTTATATATCAAACCCCTTCATTGAGAAAATTAAAATTATAACACATTTGTTTCGGTAAATAGAATGTTTTAGAGCATGTTTAATGGAAGTTCTTAGAGTGAAGTGTTTAAAGAAATATAAAAAACCGTCTCTTAACTTTTAATTAAAAAAAAACTAAAAAAAAGTTTTTAAATAAAAGTTTTAAAAGTCAGGTCTTAATTTTTTTTGTTAAAAGTTAAGAGATGAGTTTTTATATTCCATTAAGAACCTCATCCTAAGAATTCTCCATTAAACATGCTCTTATACCTTGTGGTATCTGTTATGTGCAACAAAATTTGTTTTCTAAATGTGATCATATTACCTAGTTTCTTTGAAGTGATATCAGTATTTATGCACACTACATCTTCTAGAAAAGTTTCAATGAAGTTATTGTTGAAGCTTCGATCATACTTAACTCCAACGCATCAACATATCTTAAATTTCACTACTTTGAATGAAATAATTGGGGTGAAGTCTACATTTTCATCTTAGTAAAAAAAAGAAAAAGAAGTCTACATTTTCAAGCGGCATATCAAAATGGATCTATGGTTTGGACTTACTAGTCTTGACTACTAAAATATATAATCATTGACTTATCGATCATTACCCGAAGGAAACGAGAGCTAAAAGTTACGAGCTAGTAACTAGTTTTTGACTCATAGATTCAAGACCACAGAATAGCTAATAACTATGATAACTACTGTCCATAGTTTTGCAGAATTAGGTGCTTCTATATATGACTTTGAAGTTATATTTATGAACAAAAACCCAATAAAGCATTGATAGATGCGTGCAAAAAGAAGTGGTTTTCTTAGTATACGTGAATCAAAATGAGTCAAAGATTTTGCTATAAAAGAAAAAAACAGTCAAGCTTTTTAGATTTGGGTGTATTATTATGGGGTGGGGTGTTTATCACAGCCTTTGATGTTAACACAAGCAAGTGGGAGTTGTCTTGTGGTGGACCTTCCTCGTTCCTAGTCTTTCGCAATTACTGATTTAGTTTGACCAATTTCCATTATTATTTATAGTAACAAAATCTACTATATATATAAAAATCGATATCGGATTTTTAATTTTTGTATAATACTATACATCAACGTTTTGGTGGTTGTTGTGGGTAGTGATTAAAAGCGAATGTAACTTGAAGCTTTCGATTGAAAAAAAGTTTGAAACTCATTATTATACATTATTGTGATTTCTAGCCTTAGACATACCTGTTTAGGGAGAGTTTCACTCAATCCCCTTTACAGTCCAACAAAAAAAGATTTTGGTTCACTTCGATGGATATATGAGCTGACGACTTGTAAACCGGTACATTCCCAACTCGGTCCAGTCGAATTAGGTCAAAACATTCGCCGACCTAGGTTAAGACAAATATAAAAATAAAGGGAGAGATAACGAGAAGAGGATCCAAAAATTAGCCACTAAAAACTGACGACAAGGTTTAGAGTTTATCTTTTAGATCTAAACTTTTGTAATTTCGTTTTCGTTCTCTCTTTTGATTCTGAACTCTTGTACTCATTCCGATATTCAATAAACGTCTTACTAAATCCACAAAATAAATACTTAATCGTTTAATCTAAGTTTAGATTACCTTAACGGTGAGCCTGATGCATTAAACTTGTATATTATGGAAACAATTAAGAATATAAAATACTTAAATTTCAACATTTTAAATGACGTGACAGCTAGAACAAAAAAATAATGACGTGAGTATGTTTTCTGGTCGTCTATACGGACATAATTTCCGTACAATTTATTATTAGTCTATATTTTATTAATTCAAACCAATATAATAAGTTAGGATTTATGTTTTAAAATTAATTATAAATGACAACACTCACATAACAAAATATTTTTAAAATATATTTTTACAAATGTGTTGCTTTAATTTATTTTAATTATAATATTTTCTATCTTAATTTTTTATTTCTATAATAAAAAATATATTTTTAAGATAACAATATAATACATAAGAAGTATCTTATTTTCTCAAAATATATTTTTAATAGAAATTCGTTTTTATTTTATAATAAATTTTATATGAACTATTAAAATATGATAAATAATCAAAATTATCTAAATCATGAAAAAATTACAAATCTGATAATTCATTTAAATTTTATAATAGAAAATATATATTCAAGATAACAATCTAATACATAAGAATTTTTTTTTTGTAATCTAGTATTATTAATATACATTCGTTTTATTATTTAATAAATTATATATGAAATTATTAAAATATGATAAATAAGCAAAACATAAAACCATGGAGAAGTTGATAAATCAACATTGCTTTCTTTATATTTAACTATTAATATTTTAACTTAATTTTTAATTTCTATGATAAGAGAATATATTTTAAAGATAACAATATAATACATAAGAATTATCTTATTTTCTAAAAATATAATATTATTACTAGAAATTCTTTTTATTATATGATAAATTATTCATAAAATTATTAAAAATATAACAAATAAGAAAAATTACAAAAATCATGGAGAAGTTACAAATCAATCAGTAAATTCACTGGAATTTTATAATAGAAAAATATATTTTTAAGATAACAATTTAATACAAAATAATCAACATATTTTCTAAAATATAATATTAATATAAATTCTTTTTTATTAAAGAATAAATTGTATATGAAATTATTTAAATAAGGTAAATAAACAATTTTACCTAAAATCAAGGAGAAGTTGACAACTAAGCAAATTTACTTCTTATATAATATAATAGTATAGATTTAAATCAAGCATCATATCTCTTATAAACTAATATTCACAACTTGTTTTTATTATATACGAGACTATAATGTTTTGGACGTATAATAGAACATAAATTAACTTGTAAGATTATCATAACGAAATGTATAATTGTATACTATCTTCACATAACGCTTAAGCTTCACTTCTAAAGAAGCGACTTTCGCCAGAAGATACATTACGTAGATGGCATCTTAATCATGTTCTACTAACATATTTATTTAATTAAAAACTCCAGCCGTATTTTACAAAGTTATAAATGCACACGTGTGGGGCTCATAGCCAGATAAGCTCATTCCCCAAACTCTCTCACAACAATCTCACCTCCTCCTTTTGCTTTGCAGCTTTCTCTCTGAGTTTCAGTATTGGAAACTCGTTTAAATGCCTAGAATTTTAGAGCCGTTGGATCTAGGAATCCAAATACCATACCATTTCAGATGTCCAATCTCACTCGAGCTGATGCGTGACCCTGTAACCGTCTGCACCGGTCAAACCTACGACCGAACAAGCATCGAGTCATGGGTCTCCACAGGAAACAACACGACATGTCCTGTCACACGTGCTCCTCTCTCCGACTTCACTCTCATCCCAAACCACACTCTCCGCCGCCTCATCCAAGAATGGTGCGTCGCCAACCGCTCCAACGGCGTCGAGCGTATCCCTACCCCCAAACAACCCGCCGACCAAACCTCCGTCCGAGCTCTCCTCAGCCAAGCCTCCGCCACGTGTGGAACTCACGTCTCCTTCCGCTCCCGCGCCGCCGCTCTCCGCCGTTTACGTGGCTTCGCGCGCGATTCCGAGAAAAACCGCGTTTTGATCGCGGGGAATAACGGTAAAGAGATTCTAATCAGGATTCTTTTCTCGGACAAAGAATCTCCGGAGCTGGTCTCCGAATCTCTCGCTCTTCTAGTTATGTTCACTATGACAGAGCCTGATCAGTGCGTTTCTATCATCTCGGATCCAAACCGGGTCGAGTTTCTGACCCGGTTACTATTCCATTCATTAATAGAAACGCGCGTTAACGCTGCCGCGTTGATAGAGATTTTATTGACGGGATCGAAGTCAGCTGATATTAAAGAAACGGTTTCGAACTCTGAGTCCATGTTCGAAGGAGTTCTCGATCTTCTTCGTAACCCTACGGTGACGTCACACCCACGGCGAGCTCTCAAGATCGGAGTCAAAGCGTTGTTCGCGCTCTGCCTATCAAAAAACACGCGTCACATCGCGGTCTCATCCGGTGCGCCGGAGATTCTAGTCGACAGACTCGCGGCGGGTTTGGACAGGTGCGACACGGAGAGAGCGTTAGCGACGGTGGAGCTGCTTTGTAGATCGCCGGAGGGATGCGCGGCGTTCGGTGAGCACGCTCTGACGGTGCCGGTGCTCGTGAAGACGATTCTGAGGGTTTCGGATCGCGCGACGGAGTACGCGGCGGGAGCGTTGTTAGCGCTTTGCGCGGCGGAGGAGCGGTGGAGAGACGAGGCTGCGGCGGCGGGAGTGGTGGTTAGGTTGTTGTTGGTGGTGCAGAGTGAGTGTACGGAGAGGGCGAAGAGGAAAGCGCAGAAGCTGTTGAAGCTTCTGAGAGCATGTTTATCAGCAAAACCAACTTAAAGTCTCTTAGCCATTAAAAGTGATTTTTTAAGTCTTAAAAGTGAGATTAGGAATTTTGTTAAGAGACACATAATAATATCAGTTTATTGGTAGTTTCTTAATTAAAATTCTTAACAATAAAAAAAATATTAAATTTATTTTTAAACATGAAATTTTAAACAAAGATTAAGTTTATTTATTACATAAAACAAAATGAAACAAAACATTTTAAACATAGATTTGAAAATAAACAACAACAAAGAACAACTGCAGCTTGCAATACCCGTGACCTCTGTCTTCTCCCTGCTCAAAGAATCAACACACGTACACAATGCTTTTAGCAGCCTGCAATATGAAAACAGAATACAACACACGTACACACGTCAGATTTTACTAAAGACACATTTTACTTCAATACACATTTTACTTAAAGACACATTTTACTTAAACATTTCAATTAAACTTCAAGAACAAAATACAAAGATAACAGAACATAAAACCACATAAAACATCACACATCCGAGCTCTCTAATAACATAACTTAAAATAGAAAGAGAAAAATCACACATCCGAGGTCATCACCATGAAAACATTACTTGAAAGTTCAAGAGAACAGAACATCAATCAGCTTCTTCTTGTGGTCTTCCTCATACTCAAGAAGAGGTTTTTTTTTGGCTATCAGGCTGTCTAGTAGTCTCATCTTAGACAAGCGTTCTTTCTGAGCGAGATCTTGTTGTCTCATAGACCACATGTTCTCAAAATCCATCTCGGAAGCAAACTCAAAGGAAGATATAAATAAAATAAGTTGGGAAGAGAAGAAGACGGTGAGAACTGATATAAAGACAGAGGAGAAGGAGAGATTTTAATACATTTAAAGACTTTTAAGTTTAACCAACACATTCATCAATGTAATCCATTCATATCTATCTAACCATAAAAAAAAAAATTATTGAAGAGAAGATGGATTAGACTTTTAACCAACACATTCATCATGTAATCCATTCATATCTATCTAACCATTAAAAAAATTTATTACCCAAAGCCAACCATAATCTCATTTCTATCTAACCACTGTAACATCAATTTATTACCTAAACCAAATACAAACCCACGAATTAATACACTGCTTTATCAGATTGCTCAGAGTAAAGAGAGGAGTTTACCTGTATGAACTAATCGTAGGCCTTTTGTCTCACCTATTGTGTTTGAGATCAAGCATCTCCATCTCGATCAAACAACCTCAAGACAAAAAAACGGAAACAAATCAAAACAATTACAAAGATTTATATGTTAAAAAATGAGGACAAAGAAGGAAGAGGAGGCCGACCTAATGACACAAACACACCAGCTTCGTAATCCTCTGCCATAGCAGCTTCCCTGATCACAATCTACTTCTGTCATGCCTTTATCTATTAACACATTGATCATGTAAAACATCATACTGGAGAAGATAGTTTTGCAGATTTGATATAAAGTAAACCTTTAAGCCTTCCATGAGTAGCAACCCAACCATCATTATCTTCATCATTAACCAAAACTTCACCTCCACCAGCTTCGTAATCCTCTGCCACAGAAGCTTCCCTGATCGAAAAAGGAAAACAAACGATTTTGGTCAATATTCTCACACAAAAATCCACGATGAATATTCAAATCACAACAGATCAAACCAATCAAATAAATCAAAAGAAATCAGAATCAAGACATGCAGAGTGAGATATACAACCTTTCGATTCGCCGGAGCCGCAACAGTCGCCGTTTATTTCCGTCTTAGTGAACCACCGATATAGAGAGATTACGCCTCGGGGAACCACCGATAGAGAGTGCGTCGTTTTCCTTTTTTGCCGTTTCGTCGAGGAGTCGTCGAGGTGTCGAGGAATCACAGTTTCGCCACCGAGAGAAGAGAAAGGAAAAATCGAAAGAGAGAGAAAAAGAAGAAGAAATGAGATGGATGAAAGGCAATCTGCTTGTGCCACGTACCCGCTAAGGAACGTGCTTTCGGGAGCCAGAGTAGGAGACGTTCTTTGCCTAATTTTATTTTTTCCTTTTATTTTAATTGTTAATTTTGCTAAACAACCCCCTAAGACACGCTGATAAACATGGTCTGAGAGACTCGTGGCCTGACTACTCTTTTGGTAACTCCGATGGTTTCGGTTGCAGCGAAGTGGTCCCCTTTTGAATTTTTGTATTTATTTTGTTGTTCAAAAGTAATTATTTTTAGTCTTTTTTATGTTTTTAAAATTAGTAGAAAAAGAAAAAGAAAACACGTAAAGTGGTCATTTTTAATGAAAAAATTGTGAATTAAAATTAAAATATACAAAAAGGTTTGATGACCATAATTTATGTACTGATTTTTCTTCTCCAGTGTATGTAACTAATTTTTCTTCTAATTGGTTGGCCTTTGGAGCTGGGAAAAGTTGTTAAAAGCAAATGGAAGATATGCTAAATGCCTTTAATTTCATTCTTTATATGATGTACAGCTCTTAATGTGTGCCATGAGTTTCTAATGAAATGTAATTGACTCATCTATAGTGTTCTCTGCTTTATATGATGTTGAGCAATTGATTTATCTTTCTTTATGGGTTTAGGTCTAGGGCGAAACTCAATATTTCTAGCCCAATAAAGTAGTAAAAGAGGAAACTCATGTCATTGTTTCCAGTTTTTGGAATATTTTTTAGTTATTGGTTTTTTTTCAAAAACCATTTTTCAGGCAATAATTTTTGAGAAATAAAATTTCCTAAATACAGGAAAAATATTTTTCTAACAAATATTTATTAAAAAAACAAAAATTCACTTGAAATATTTTTACATTAACTTTTGTTACAAATATAATTATACATAAGGTATTTGTACAATGATAATGATAAAATGACAAATCTCTCAAATAGACATTTTTAAAAATTTAAAAACTAAATGATCCAATAACATTTTTTATTTTGAAAATTTTAATTTTTTTATTTTATTTTTAAGAATTTGAAATTTTACCCCAAAACTCCACTCTTCAACGCTAAACAAAAAAGTCTAAGATTAGTTAATCCAAAACGTATAAGTGTATATTTACTTATTTTGATAAAACTTTTAAGTCTATTTGATGAATTTTATTTTTAAAGTATAAATTTGTGATAAAACATTTTTTAGGTATATCCTATGGAATTTTTCATGATAAAATGTAAGGTATTTTGCTTAACGCATTATTAATTTCTAATAATATTTCCTGAGCACATATATGTAAAGAATTTTACATATGTTTTTATCATAACACAACTTAATTTTACTAAAATTATTACAATATTCTGAATAATATTTTATCTAATAATAAACCGATGCTCACAATTTTTTTGCTTCAATATTAAAAAAGTAGCTCATATAAAAATATAAACTTATCAAAAAAATTTAATTTTTTAATGTTAGACATTACAATTGTGTATAAATTTAATTGTATTAAGCAGCCTATTAATATATGTAGCTAGATTAGTACTAACTAATTGTTTATTACACTACTATAGTTATACTATAAACCTTCAGTAAAGTTAATAATATTTTTAATTATAAGTATTGCACATTTATTAGAGTGTAATTATGTTTTATTAAATTCTAGCTAGCATTAGTTTTATAATATTTAAAATATATTTAAATTATAAAACATGTTTTGTGTATTTGGTGATATTATATTGTATTTTTACTATTACCAAAATAGTTATTTTTAGTATTAATATTTTTATGTTATTAGTTTAAAAAGCAAAAACCAAAAACTAAAGTCCAAAATCTAAAATCAACATTCGAATTTTTCAAAAACAAAAATATGCACAAAAATCAAAAGCTATGCCAACAAGCAACAACTCAACTTGGTTTCCAGGGTTACGTGGATACATTTCGTTTTATTATCAAGATCAGAAAATAGTCTACACTCATCACATCTCAGAAACACAAACCATACCCACAAACAGGTACCACACTATATACACAACACAAACCAAAGCCCTTACGAAAGCCCTTTTCCTTTAGTCATCATCACATAGTCAAGGCAAGACATTTCTTGCTGCTCACTCTTTTCTTCCTGAACAACAGCTTCTTCAAGAACCCTACTCCTTGCTTCTTTCTTGGAACCATCTTCTCACCTTTCGCCTCCACTGGTTCATACACGATCAATGCATTGTAATTGTTACCACCACTACGAGTAACGATGTTATTATCACCCTCTGCTTTGTTGGATGACGAATCCTTAGCCATTGAGTCTTCTGTACTTTCCCGGAAAGAAGATCTTTTGTGTAGAAATTTCACCGTGCTGCTTGTTTCTGTTGTCGATAAAGCTCTTAGTTGCTTCCTTAAATTGGTTATTGTTTCTTGACACTCTGATAACTTCACAGAAGCTGCTGCAATATCCCATCCCTACAAACAAAAACTCCATCATAATTAAACACCTATGATAAGGGCCGATCAGATATTTTAATTTTTTCTTAATTCCCTAAACTTAAATAAAATTTTATAGGCAACTAAAATTGTCGTTTTCATAAATAAAAAATAGTACTCCTATAGGCAACTAAAATTCTCGAATAAAATCATGATGCTCTAAGCGGCCGGTTACTTTGCCTATGCTCCGGACCGGACCGGGAACAAACATTTTGATATTTTGGTATGTGAATTATGTACCTTTCTACTCACGTTTTTGTTTCTTTGCATTGGTTTCTTCGTTTCAACACTGCAAAAATTCACACAAAATTGATGAAATTTCAGTAACAAAAGGGAGTAATGTTGAGATCTTTAGATGTGATTACGGTTTTTGTTTACCTTTCTAACTGAAGTTGAAGCTCGATGCAAGTGCCTTCAAGTTCTTCACAACAACTCTTTCTGTAATCAAATTCTACTTCAAGAGAAGACAATTTCTTCTGTGCCTCGTTCAGCTTAGCTTCACTTATGTGTAGCTTTGTATCAAGATCTTCCTTCATTGCTTTCTCAGTTTCCATCTCAGCTTCTACCTTCTCCTTACTCTCTCTCAACGCCTTGACCTCTCCTTCTAAGCCTCTGATCTTTTCCTCGGCTTCCTCAAGCTTACCTCTCAGTTCTTGACTCTCATCAGTTTCAACTTTCTCCACTTTACCTGCTGTTGTTAGACCTAAATGTCTCTTGATCTCATCCTTTGTCATTGGACCTGATTCCACATTAGATTTCCATGTGATGCAGAGAGGATCTCCTTCAGCTTTCTTGGTCTCTACATCATCATCATCATCCATACATCCCAAAGCAATCTTGATGTCTTGTAACAATTCTTTAACACCGCGTTTCGATATCCTCTCTTGCTTTGATACAGCACTCAAAACAACTTGAATCCAATCAAAAGACCCATCATCTTTCTCATCATCCTCTCTTGAAGCTTTCTCAGTACAGACAATAGCTAACTTCTCCATCTCATTAAAATCATCCATAAGTAACTTCATCTCCTTTGAACCAGAAGGGCTAATGACACTGCTTTCACTTCTGATATCAAAACTAGAAGCACTTAGCGGTTTCTGCCCGCGGCTAAGATCTTTAATCTCCATGTTTTTCCTCATAATGATGTCCATCAGATTCTTGTTCTCTGCTCTAACGTTACCTATCTGCTCCATCAACAGATCATACTTAAGCTTCCTGCTCTGAGCTTCATCTTTCATCATCAAGTCGCTCTTATTATTCGCATTTCTTCTTTTCATTTCTTCCCCTTCGTTCCTCATGGAGATTGACCTGTCAGGAAACTTCTTACGAAACAGAAGTCTTAGTCTCTTGCACTCAGCTTCAAGCTCCACAATCTTGTTCACGTTCCTGAGTTGCTGTTTATGTGTTAGCTCCATAGACTTGCGAGTATACTCTGTTTCCTCTGTTTTTACTTCAAGATCCTTTTCAAGAACGGTATACTCATATCTCAAGAACGTGTTTTCTTTCTCTGTTGCATCTAATCTCGTCATCAACGCTTCAAATTCTGATTCCACTTGATACTTACGCTCTTGTAAGCTTACCGCGAGCTCTTCTTTGGCCGCAAGGGACTTCTTAAGCTGAGAGTTCTCAGCGGTTAACGTATGAATGTTTCTCTTCAGCTCAATCACATCATCAAATGCAACTTCTTCTCGTCTCTCCTTAGTGTCGGTTGAGCTGAAAGTGTTGTTAACGAATCTCTTTGTTTCATGATCTCTCCCAAGAAGCTCCATTCGCTGGAGGAGCTTATCAGAAACACCACAAAAAGGCGATGAATCTTCTCCATCCACCAAACTCATTTCTTCATCTTTCAAGAAAATCTCATCTGCTACATCTTTGTCACCGTAAAGATTCACATGAGAATCTTTCTTAGGAGAGTTTAAAGCTACAGTTTCTAGCTTCTCGTTGAGACTTTTTCGAGCTCTCTCGGGTCTAGCTCCATTTACTGGAGGAACCGTACGTGCCTAAATACCAAAATAAAATCAACAATCATCACTAAAAAAGACATTTACTAAGCTATCTTGAAGTTGAAAAGCAATAAAGACAGAACAGAAGCTAATAAAACGACAAAATATAAAAAAACATTTTGAAGCAAAACTTGGCTACTTCTGCAAGATTTTATTTACCTGTGGTTTGATGTTTCTTCTAGAAGAAACTTGAAGTGTATCTGCTACAGATTCTATTTTTTTCTTCGATCGCCAGTGGTTTGCATCCATTCTTTCTGTTCTGCAACTCAGTGAAAAGGGAATAGAGAATAAACATTTAACTTTGCATTCTACTGAGAATAATCAAAGAACAAGACCCAAGATAAAAAATGATCAAAGGAAGGTTTGTATGCAAGTTCTTACATTGTTTTCTGGTAGTTCCCAGGCTGAACAAGTGTGTGACTAATGTCTGCAACAACAAAATAAGAAGAAGAGGAGAGATGAATCTTCACAAGGAAATAAGGTAGAGAGAAGCATCAAAGTGACACTGATATTAATTGTTTACGTTTCAACTCATAAATAAGCATTCAAGGGGCCTAAAGAGTAGAGGCTTTATTCAATTGTTTTTATTCTGAAGTTATATGAGGAATTACTTGGAATGACCCAAATTGATCTTAAAATGACTATAATGACTCATATAAAATTTTAAATACTAGACCCTATTTTGTAACAAGCAAATGGACTAAAATACCCTTTTAATGTGTGCAATCCAAAAAAAAAGTTTACGAGGAAAAAAAACATTAAACATAAAAGAGAAAATAAATTAGATTCAACATAAAAGAAAAAATAAAATTGTTTCTCGGGTCTCTCTCTCTTTCTCGCACGACAACGACGATTTCGAAGGGGGGGATTCTTCGATCGAGTCTCGTCGTCGTTCCTCTCTCACTCCGACACCATCGCCTCTGTCAGAAGTCCATCTCGTCGTCTTTGTCTTTTACGTCGCATCTTTCCCCAGACCAGAATGATGTGATCCATTGTTCTGTAAACAGAAAGAATGGAAGAAAGTGTTCAAACCACCATGAAAGGAACAATTTGAGAAAGAAGAAAAGAGGGGTGAAAGAGATGACGACAGTTACTAAAAAAATAATTAGCCCTAATTGTGGTCTTAAACCACTAGAAATAAACCAAAATCGAATTAATTGGAGTAAACCGGGATTAAATCCGAATTTAATTTCTACTGGTTTACTAAAACCCAGAATAATTAAACAAATCTGTCACTACGTAAAATAACNCGACAGTTACTAAAAAAATAATTAGCCCTAATTGTGGTCTTAAACCACTAGAAATAAACCAAAATCGAATTAATTGGAGTAAACCGGGATTAAATCCGAATTTAATTTCTACTGGTTTACTAAAACCCAGAATAATTAAACAAATCTGTCACTACGTAAAATAACAAGTCGGCCACGTCGTAATGCAACAAGTCTACAGAATTTGTAAATCTGTGATAGATTTGCCTTAAGTCTACCGTAGGAAGAATAGATTTTCTATACAAATCGGTCATAACTCAACAAGTCTGCCTTTCGAAAATAAGTCGATCGCACAAATCTGTGGTTTGATACAAATCTGTTGTGTCATCCGACAGACATATTTAAGAAATCGTTTTTTTAATACAAATCTGACAAAATATAGACAAATCTGTTGTGTCATACGATAGACATTTTTAACAACTCTGTTGTACGGCAAGGGTAATTCTGACCACGAAAACATTCTAATAATTTGAAAAAAAATATGAGTCATTCTAGTAATATCACCATAAATTTGAGTCATTCTAATTTTCTTCCCAAGTTATATAGTACAATGTTTTTTTATTCATGAAGAAATTGTTTTCAAACTTTGCCTTTCATAAATTTACTAAAGAAACAATCATAAGAAAATAAATTCACCTATTAGTAATACAATTTCAACACTTAACAATCATTTTGTTTTTGCATTAGTAATACCATAATTAATTTGGTAATACCTACTCTTAAATGAAAGGGAGAGTAAATATTAAAAAAATGCCTGCAAATTAATTAAGGGGTTAAATTAAGTCCACAAGACATTTAGTGCTACCTAATGACAATGACATTTGTCTTGTAACTTTTTCTTTGATAATTACTTTTGCCATCTCTATTCTTTTAGTGGGTTTCTGCTTCTTCTTTCGGTTCTCCTTTTTTTTGTAGGCTTCTAAACAAGTAAACTATTTTTCTAGAAGATAATACAGAAACAATTCGAAATGTTGCAAAAAAGAAAGAATAAACATTTCCAGCGTTAGAATTTCAACAAATGTGATTATTGATAAACCATATATAGAAGTGTTTTGACCCTTTAAGAAGAAGTAAACGAAAAATGTTTGGCCTGAACATTGATTCTACCTACTTTATTATTTCTGAGAAAAATATATTATAATGTAATCATGGTTAGACAGACAATCACCATGTCACTAGCAAGACAAGAATTATTTTCTTTCTTTTTGATTTTCTTGGAGGGCCATAGGATTCCAAATGCTCTCCAGTCTCCACCGACAGTTTTTACTACCATTCTTTAATTACCCATCATGTCTTGTTGAAAAGAAAAAGAAAATATCATCGCAAAAGTTCACAAAATGGAACGGAGAAGTGGGGAATATAGTAAGGGAGACGTTACGAAAGTATTAATTTGGGGGGCCATATAATTTATGTGATGTCTATGCAAAGAATAAAGCTATGATTATAAAACTAATGAAGATATAACCAAAATAATAAATCCAACTTTAAGCCGTTAAAACGATACATTTATTAATTTTCTTGTTGTAGGGGAAGAAGCCACAATGATCTTTTGTTGGTACTTGGTATAAAGACTTCTTATATAGTTTTCAAATGGATCTTACTCTGCATTATTTGCATCGGTTGAACCTAACCACAGGCATTCATTTTATTTATTAACTATAAGAGAGCAAAAATATTCAGGAAACCAAGTACTAAAGATATCAAGCTTATGTCAGGATCGATCCTGATGAAGACATTTATCTTAATTTATAAGTTGTTAATATGTATGATTATCTAACTTTTAAATCTATATATAATATATATACTTGTTTGCAAATCGTAATTATTTTATTTTATAAATCTCTGAACCGGCCATGTTTAGCCATGAGTGAATGGGTTAAATAGTTTGTTAACCAAGTAAAATATTCTATTGATCAGATTTGCATTTGGGTTCTGATAATGGGATTGATCTTTTGGGTAAGGTACTCTAATTTAATAACTAAATAAAATGATCCAGTAAAAATGAAGATCCAAGCCACTTACGTACTCAAAGATTAACACGAAAGAGATTTGCCTAAGCTGTATATATGTTGTTCATCAAGAAGAACATAGCTAATCAAAGATTTGCTATGAAACAAGACAAAGATAATTTCTACTGTTCAATTTTTTCGACCAAAGCTTAATTCACCTTTGATCATCAAAGACAAGAACCAGACTAGGAATACTCAACTATCTACTGGTTTTCACGACCTAACGGTAAGTCATCGATCCAGTCTCCATATGTTCGGTTAAACTTCTTGGAGTTCGCTGGCCACAAGGATTTGCTGTTACTTGTGCAGTAGGTTTCACTGCAAATGCTTTGTTGTAGGTACCACCGTTTGTTTACTCACATACGCTTCTCCGTCCACAGTTTCGTTACGCAACTCTGGAATTTTTTTAAGGGAAGTTAACTCAACTAGTATGAATTTTATTAATTATTATCACAACCATACAAAACTTTTTTTTATTACTACCTTTTTTTTAATACCTAGCGTGCCCTTTTTTCATGTTGTGAGAAAAAACATATTTACAAGAATGCCATTACTTTTTTATGCCACGTAAGCAAAAAGTTTGGGTCCACGTAAGAATGCGGCATAAAACTCAGCCGCAATAGGATACGAACTACGTTACGGCCGAGATATAGGTGCGTAGCGGCTGACTTAACTAACCTAGCTGACTTATGAGAAAT